CTTGAAACAGGCATGCGAACCACTCGGCTACGGAGCTCGTCTTGGAAAATATCCTTTCGTTTTGATCAATCGTCGTGCGTCAGTCGCTTATAAAACTCGTGACCGATGACGTAAGCAAAGTGAATTCTGACTCACTATGGGGTTACGAGATTACACGAGACAATAAGCTTTACGATGCTGTAGGATCCAGTAACAAAATATGCTAAAAGGGACGATGCCTTTTTTTGTCTGTTCGTCGTCGGGTAAATTATTGAAGAATATTGAACACATATATTTTTTTAGGTTTTTTGCATAATCATATAAATTACGCAGATCATTTGAGTTGAAATGTCGTATGATGTCACACCTTTGTATATATTCTACATAGTTTTGGCGTAGCGTACTTCAACTCCTTACTTTAATGCCTGTTGTCTAAGCTATTTCTTGATAAATTGAAGCAACAAAAATACAAATCTATAATAATTTCTATTATCTGACTGACTGACTGAATAGAATTTCTTTTAAACTATTCCTTGCGCATAACGTGCCATAGTTTACATTTTATGGAAAAAATAAAAGTATCAAAATTAAAGTATATAAAAAAACTAATAAATTTGATTTTATTTAATGATACGATTAAATAAAATCAGGCCATATATTAAGACGTACCCAGGAAAGGTGGAGTAGGATTGTACCTCCAGTGGTATCCTAGAGACAGTAAAAGAAGTAGAGGAAGACAAGGTAAAAGATGGGAAGACGAGCTAAAACTAACCGCAGGACCTAATTGGAGAAGAGTTGCAAGAGATAGAAACCAATGAAGGATGCTAGAGGAGGCATATGCCAAGAGGCACACTGCAATCAGAGATTTATTATAAACAACCTAATTATATTAACCAAAAACAAATGTTCAGAATAAACGGCTTATTATTATTATTATAATGTTATAATTAATACTAAGCGACTTACGACTCATTAAAGGCATTTTTTTGTCGTAAATTTTTCTAATATATTCAACATCAAATAGCGACAAAGCAAAGATTTTTCGGGAAAAATGTAATTACCTGTTTTAGAGTTAAATGAGTTATAATAATCAAATAAAAGTCCATCAAGAATTAAGTTTATTTGTATCCCAGCTATACTTCTAAGTTTCAATGGTTTAGAAGTCTTAAATTTTGAAAAAATATATCAAAGAAATTTTCTTTTTAAGGTTTTAATAAAACTCTCTTAGATTTTCTTTATATATAAAAAAAGAACTGTTGGTAACAAAAGTTTAATTTATTTAGCTCAAAAATTAAATAAGATATGGTCATATATATGTTATGGACTTGATGATTAATGCGGGCATTATTAATAATGTACTAGCATTGTGAAAAATGACTAGCTCTATCGGGTTAAGTGATCAATTTCTATCTAAACTGTATTAGTTATCACATCGCACGGTCTTTTTTATATTGGTATATGACAATTGGGCATTTTGATAATAAAGCTAATTTTGACGAGGTGCGAGGAGGAATGAACGCATGACACAGTTTACTACAAGATGCAAATTATACCAAATAATAAATCTGTTTGTGGTTTATTTTTTTTGGCCCTATAGGTGATAGGTTAGAATATTAAGTATTTTATGATTAATGAAATAATTTAATGATTCATGAAATTACAGCGTATGATATTCCATATAAAACTATATTTGAATCAATTAAATAGCTTTGAAGGAGACCGAGTTATCATAAAAAACCAATTTTTTTTTGAGTTACAATATTACGGAGCGCCTAAAATTTGAATGTTTTTAAGCATTTATTACGCTCTATACTCTTCTCTTCACAATATGTCAACTTGTAGGTAGACCACATATAAACATACATGTATATACAACCTACTAACGGTTCATTTTCTATGTGTATCTTTATAATTTAATATTTGAAATGAATATTGATAGTTACATTATTATTTAAAAAAATATATATTTTTAGTGGTTGAGTCTTAAAAAAAAGTATTTATCTTATTATATACTTTGAGAATATTATTTTTTATTTAAGACAAGAAATCAAAAATTTCACATTTCTCATTTCTTTTTATATTAACTTCCTTATGGTAGGTTTTTAGTTATAAACATAGTTAAATATCCAAATACTAGTTACTTTTTATAGTAACTTGACATCTTTATATGCATTTATGTAGCTCAGTGGTTAGAGCAGTCGCTCAAATTGTGAAAGATTGTTGGTTCGAATCCCGTCTCAGAGTACCAGGGACAAAGTGATTTTTTTTAAAGCAATTTTCATTGAGTATTTTTTTCAGTATAACATATTGAATGCAAAATTGATCAATTATAATAACAGATTTTGTAAGGACAAAATGGATTTTATAAGCATTTTTCATTAAGTAAATGTACTAAACACACATTTTCATTCTTAATGATGAGTAGCTCGGTGGCGTAGTGGATAAGCGCCGGGGTCCGCGATCGTAGTCGTTAAGCAACTTTCGCAAGGGTCGGTCACGGGATGGATGACCAAAAAATATTATCTCGAGCTATTCTGTGCTTCGGAAGGCACGTTAAGCCGGTGGTCACGGCTGCATTTGCAGTCGTTAATACCCTCCAATCCGCATTGGGCCGGCGTGGAGGGTCGTGGCCCATCCTCCTTAACCATCCATAAGGAAGGCCTGAGCCCCTACAGTGGGGACGTAAAAGGGCTGGTGGTGATGTGATGTGATGATGATGATGAATGCTTAAAAAAACACTTTTTAATCAACACAGTCCAATATTATAAATGTGAAACCTACGGTCAGTTGCATACGTCCATTGAGGTTTAACGACGACGCCTTTAAGCTCTGATGAATATATAAAAAATATAAAAAATATATAAATATATAACAACATCACATACATTGCTCAAATTCCAAGATGGGTAGCTAAAGCTCCCGTATTATGGAGTATCTGAGACAACGAAGGTACCACAACACCCAGACCCGAGACAATATACAAAAGTTCATTTTCTACATTGACCCGACCGGGAATCGAACCCAGGACCTCAGAGATGGCGACACCTTGAAACGTTTGTGCAACTGGCAATTACTCTATCTGTGTCTGTAACGTATAAAAAGAAGATATTATAGTTTTTATCGCGAAAAAATAGATAACTATGTTACACAGCAAACAGATTCATTTATAAAGGATATAATGCATTATAAAGTAATAGAATATTATAATTAGCTTATTTAATTTAGTCTAATCTATGTAATTGTTATATTTTTTCTGTCCCTACTCAAATCCGATGGGGTGACTGTTCCATATTGTTAATTTTATTTTGTAAGTTGGCAACCCCAACACATTCGCAGACTTCCTCTCGAAATAAAATACACGATAAACAGAAGACATTTTTAATTTATTAAAATCTACTTATAGAATGTGACGGCTAAAAATCCATGCTACATATGCATTTTGGTGATGTCAGTGCACTGAGTCTTGAGAATTACAATTTGTTACACTCTGTCGTGAATCTATCGTTCGTTCTTTTTTTAATTCTAATGTAATGAATGTAGTTGTGTGACGTAACTAATGAAATAAACTAATTATCTATATACATAAATGCAAAAGCAGTATCTGAGTAAAAACTATTTTAAGCTAGTTTGGTTTTAATTAATTTTTATATTGATTTTTAGAGTTCAGTACCCAGATGATAAAACGGGTAGACAGCTAAGTTTGTAATTGGTACTTTCTGAGATTTCCCTCTCTGTCTCTCACCAGGCTGTATCTCACAAACCGTGAATGTTAGATAGTTGAAATTTTCACATATGATGTATTTCTTTTATCACTTCAACAACAAATACAAAAAAATATAAAAAAACATATTTAAGGGGCACCCATACACAAAAAACGTGATTTACCAATATGAACCATACGCGCGAGCCCGATTCGATTATTTTTTGCTAAAAAATCCAAGTTTCAGATTACATTGCGAATATTTTATATTAAAATGTTTAAAATGTTTAAAACATTAAAATGTATTATTGCTATGCCATTTATTAATTATAAGTTAAATTAGAATTTGAGTTACCGCTTTTGCACCCACTAGCGCTGAACGGTGAAGCAACAGACGGAAGTTTACCTTAAAAATTTTCTTAATACATCTTTAGAAATATAGTTAAAATCCGTCACGTTCCTATAACATATTTTGAACCTTAACACGTTTGTGTCTAAGTACATATTCTGAATTTCGTGATAAATTAATAAACTGCCGTACGTACATATTGTATGCCTTAATTAGATTCATTCATTTACCCTCCGTTTTATAGTACAAAATGTTTGTATTACGAGATGGAATACTTACATCGGTACATCTATCCTGTAAGGGATTAAAGTAGTTACGCGGTAGATCTGGTGGCATTAACATTTCGAATACAAAATGGTGCTAATAATAATATATCCCAGCTTAATTGCTGGGAAATAGATACCAATAAAAGAAATTAAATTCAAGTCAGATTGGTACCTTATTCAAGACTGGCGTCGTGCCTAGTTTCTAAAGAGGTACTGTTAAATTATAGTTTGTTACTTATTCTATGGTACTATTATCGAGACTTTAAGAAATTACTGGAAATTACTATTTATAAGGATGCTTATGCGCTTACCCGCTGCGCATACTTTTACTCTATTGTGTTATTTATTAGCAAAAATATATAGCCCATATAGCGAATTCTTGAGTTTCTAGAATAGGTTTTCTTACGTTTTGGAATGTTAACGATTCTCTCTTTTTGGGTCCTAATGCTGAACTGATGGAAAATATTTTTTTAATTTCAAAAATTCCCGAAGAAATAGGAAAATTTGCTTTACAATTTGTGTTATCAGCCAAAAAGTAGTACCTTTTTTAATAATGAGTCATGGAAAGTTTTATCTATAATATGTATAAATTTAGATCCAAGACTTTAAGATTCACGCTATACATAGATACGCCTTTTTAAATTAATGGATATAGGTATATTTATATTATTCTAAATTTTAACTAAACTTATATCATTTGTTTCAGATCATCTTAAGAAAATAATAGCAACAATAATGTTATAGTGTGAACTAAATAGTTATTCAGTAGTGTTTTACTTAAGCATTTACTAAATTAGTGTCAAATTAGTTTATACTAAGTGCTAACAATATGGGGTGCAACACTAGTTCGGAGGCCAAAGGTGAAGCTAAAACTACGAAGGAGGACAAGGATCATGTACAAGAAAATCACACTAATACTAATGCAGGTAAGTTCTAATTCATATTGTGTCATTACCAGACAATAGGTTTACGGTAAGAAAATTATTTAAATCAAAATATTGTCGTGTAACTATCAAAATGGTGGGAGGGGGAGACTTATTTTTCGCATGCAATAGGAATTTGTATTATTTTTCTCTGTACATTTTGTCATAACTTTTTTATTGCAGCTTAATTTGAAAATTTCATGTACTGTTCAAAAAAGTTGTGACAGTAGAGTATTACTACGAGTATTATTATAGAAGAGACGATAGCCCAATAAAGCTGTTTACTTTCAAAATACTAACTCATATTATTTGTTGAAACTTGGAGGCTTAATGTAGATATAGCACGGATGGGACGTCTTGAATAAAAATGTCTAATGGTGTTAAATGCGGTTTACTTAATATTCAATAAAGATATTTTACATAATTTATAACGACGCATTAATGTCTCGCGGGTGAAGAAAAAAGTGATTGTGTTGGGCACCGGTCGAACCACAAGCTTGAGGTGGGGGACGAAGCCGCTTCTTACGACGATGTGATCGTGTGTGTTGATATCACATAACACACAGGTAAAACGTCAACATTATTAATGAATTATAAATTTACAGACTCGGCAAGTTGATTTTTAAAAGTTCGTATACTTTTTTCGTTTATATACAAATGTAAAACAAGAAAAACTAGAGATAAGAAAAAAGAATATAAAATATTGTTTACGTTCGTATATTTATATTATACATAATCTATGTTAGTTATTGTAAACGCCACCTAACGGAATTTTCCGCAACTACTACAAAAGTGTGCTACGGGAAAAGCTTCGGAAGGTATACATTTAGGTGCTTGCTTCGTTTTCGATGTGTTTTTCTATTATTACATAGATGGCGTATACTATAATAGTAATTTAAATTAGAATTCACTAGATGGCGTTTGATTAATCACGTATAATTCAAATAATGTGACTTCATAGTCATCATCGCGTAATAAAATTAAAATAAAATATTGGCACATTGAAAGCCTTTATTAGAAAATTTTAAGCACAATAATGCTTACATTATATTTCAAATCATTCTTACTAACAAATTAAATTCTTTTTAACATTTTAAATTATTATTATGAATTGAAAAATTATTACATAGCACTTGAAACCACGAAAAATCAAATAAAATATGACCTACCTTCAGTTTTACTCGATCTTTTAAAATGTATCTGATAAAATAATCCACTTCCACATAAATTATTCTCCTGAATAATTCAGTGGTTCATGTGATGTGACGGTTCTTTTCACTAGTTTTTCTTCTTTATATTCATCAGAAATCGTACCTACTTTTGATAAAACAATGATTTAACATGAAACTACTTTACCTTCCAATAAAAAAATCCGCTATAATTTTATTAAAGAAAAATATTAAATCTAGCTGATATTACTAAAAAGTTAAAATTTCATATTACTTAGAGGTAAGTTTCCGACATTTTTTGTTTATTTGTAGGGGTTAATCTTCGGATATATTGGTCCGTTCATGATAATTCTTTCACCTACGTGAAACTATAGTTCATACGGATATAAGCTATAAGCTATAATTTACATGGGCGAAGTCACGGGAAATAGCTAATCTATTTTATGCAAAGTATATTTAAATATGATTTCGCGTGACGTCTCTCTGTGCATAAAATGCATATAATGACTGTACTGCAAAATTATTGATCTTACAAAATGGCTTCCGAGAAAGACTTTTTAGAATCAGTAATATCTATTTAATTCGAATAATGAATAGGCTCGTCTTTTCCCATGGTGCAGGGGGTGCAATGCAACCGGGCGCCGCGCTGATTGACATCGGGAAATTCCCTGTAATGGGGGTTGGGGGGAGCACTTGCACCCAAGCGCCTGTTGTGCTTAAGACGGGCCTGGTAATAAATACGGCGTTTTTATTTGTTAATTATGGCAATTTTATATTAGACCTATAAATAATAATAAGAAACAAATGTGATATTAGAAAACATCACAAATATGGTACAGATTCCAAAATAAGTATGGAGGACTTGAGATAACGAAGGCTTACTACATTGACTCGAAGCCGGGAACTCTGAGATGCCGATTAGTACTCTGATTAGTTTATTAATTGCATATCATAAACTACAAATTTGTTACATTTGTAATGAGATAAGATTTAATAACGATATTTCTGTTATTTTCACTCTTTCAAGTACATAGTCCCATAAATTATTTAATATCAACACAACATAACGGATAATTAGAAAATCGATATCTTACCCAAAAATATACATGAATTTGTTAATCGCATTTCAAGTTTTTTAAGCTACCATCCGTTACCATCCACTTCAGTGTTATTTATAAACAAGGTTTAGTGTTGGAGTTAATTTACGCTGAGACTGCACTTAATATTAATCAAATTCATATTATTAATTTAACAATGTAATCAGATAGACGCGCTCAGAGCTATTTATTTTATTTTATTTAAATTCAAAATTTACATATTTTATTATTGTTTATATACGTGTAAAGACCACAAACGTGACATTGGCGGAATTGTGTAAATGCAAATAGGCCATGAATTAAAAAAGAAAAAGAAGTATTATTAATCAGAGACTTGGCAAAGGTTAACCTAGTACGAAGTTCTACGGGAATAATATTTACTCCTAGAAGTAGGTTTCATTCTCTGTATAATATGAATTTGAAGTAATACAAAAATTTAAATTTTAACGTAAATTTACTCTGACGCTTAACCATGTTTACAAAAACACTGCTTGTGTATCACAAAATTAATATCATCAATCAAGATAAAAGTATATCACTTAAGTTGGACCGAATCGCAAAATTTCATGAAGATGGGATAAATAGTTTCAGAGGTTGTCGTATACGAACACCGTGAAAAGTTTTATTCGTAAATATAATAAATTTTAACCAATAAAAGGATTTTGATGGCAAAGTGGTTGCCGCGTTCTATGTGCCATGAAAGTGTTTATTAATTACAATCTTGTGATTTTTCCTCATTTCATTGTGATTATTTTTCAATTTTATATATCTTCTGCTTTTGCTTTTCAAATGGCGCCTCTTATTTTTTAATGTTCCAATACCTTTAAAGAAAATTTTACATGCCCTGCACATAAAACTACTTGAAAGTACATTTTTATTCAGGATACGCTTTTCATTTTTCCTTCCTTAATTTAAATACATTTAGCTTGTAAAAATGCTGGCGTTTATGCGATAGTATTTAGATTAACTTGCTTATGCTTATCCGGATTATAAGTAAAATTTATACCTTCCGCATAAATACACACAAACTCACAATGTACGCATTTTCTTAGTGTCATATTAGAATTGATAAGCTTATTCTGGTTTTATAGTGTAGTGTAAATGTTTATATACTCTATCAAGAATTATATTTATATTAATTATATAATTTGAAAACAAAAATTTCTAAATGTGTATGAAATTATTTTAATAATTTTAATATGAATTGGAACAACTTGGACATAACCTTTTGGCATATTTATTTTTTTCTCATAAATACTTTGCCATAAATGTTTAAATTTAAGAATTAATTAATAATAAAACCATAATGTTCCTAGACATGAAAATCGATCAAACGTTTATATTAAGTTAGAACTGCGAAAAAACAAAAAAAAACGAGCTGAGCGAGCGAAGCAAGAGCCATATACAAATTTTTTAATTTATAACACAAAGATTTTCATGACATTTAGTACGCGGGGGTTTTCGAGGGCGATAAATTCAAGTTCGGATCAAGTTAGGGCTCATACACAAAAAAAAATATCCAGGTCCATCCTCTATATACCCAGGTAATTAATTAAACCCATTTACTAAATTATTTCACCTTCTTCACAACACGGATAATTATAATACCTCACATAATATTCTGCGTGGATTAACTACGAACGCTACGACGTAACGCCATACCATCTACGGACGTTGTAACTCGTAGCAGTACTTGTATTAAGCATTAAAGGGCTGAGTAATTCGTAAGGGTTAACCTTCGTGATATTTTATACATGTTTCTGGCAAATATAGTTAATTATTTTCATTTATGGAAATGTTTCGACTCATCTACTTTCATTACTTTTTTCATACATACTCGCCGGTTTTTATGACTTCTGATATCACCTTTTTAAACCACGCGATTGATTTGATTTATTTAAAATACTCGGACCACAATCTTGTAATGACGTGACTGAGCAAGACTCATAAGTTGTTGCGAGAGTCAACTCCGAGGTTTCCAGCACCATCTCCGCACTGGGTACTGAGTGATACATCATTCAGTGCATATCTTTAGTACTTCAACATCCTGAAATATCAAGCTTTAGAAAGGTCTAACTCATTTTTGTCACGATCTCTTAGACTATAAGTTACAATACTATTTTTATTTCTTATATAAATATGTTCTATTGAATACGTTAGTAGGTTATATGACGTAGGCAAAATAAATGTACACTCATTAATTTCTGACCTACTAATCATAGATCAAGCATATAAGTCACATATCTTTCATGTAATATATATCACGCACTCACACTAAATCAATATTACCAGGCATAGTCAATATTATAACAAATGGCTTTAGAGGCTTATATCTGAAACAATGTGTTTGGGGTCTTTGGAAGCTAGTTCACGCAAAAACGTCTGACCTGATATCGATGATATGTTGTTCATAGACATTAATATTTACCACAGATATTATAATACCATACAACACTAAGCTAATATATATAAAAAAAAAATTGAAAATTATTATAAAATAAATCTCTCGTCTCTCTCATCTGTTTATAAGAGATGAAGATGTCACAGCTTAGTTTTTTGTGCACCAACAGATGTGCTTAAGTCATTTAGTTTTAATTTCCTATGATTAATATTTATTTTAGAATAATACTATAACAATTATTTCAACTATTGAATTAGTATATTTAAGTTTTCGAATTACTTTGATTTCATTTCATAAACGATTCTAAAAGCAATTTGCTTGTTTATAAAGATTTAA